AAACACAGGCAAGAAAATAAATATTTAAAATACACATTACTCTTAAAAATAAAAAATTTATTTGGGTATTAGGTCCTTGATATAATATTTAATCAGAGCTGCGTCGAAATAAAAAAATCTTCGAAAATCAAAAATCGGTAGAAAAAACCCTCGAAAATCGAAATTTCGACGCAGATCTGTGCGTTTGAGGATTGAAAGTAGCCAATCACCGTAATGGATCAGTTAATAGTTAATCTATATCGTGTAATTTTCACAAAAATTTTATTCCACTTCATCATTCCAATGAATTTTTCCATTTCATGAATTTAATTTCCGTTTTACTTCATTTACCTACATTTTAGAATCATAAAAATTGATCAAAATCTCAAGTCTATTTCCGACCCATTAATTTTTAAATTCAAAATTCGTTAAAAGATTCTTCCATTTAAAATACAATCTCTCTAATTTATCTTTTTTTAAAGATTTATACAATTAAAATTTGGCAGCAGCCATGGAAACATTCCGAAGAAGTAACAATTACTGAAGGTGAAGAACAATAAAATTCAAGATTAAAAATTAAATATTGGCTAGATTTATTTTTAAAAATTCTCCAATATTTTTGATTCTTTATAATTTAAAATAAATTGTTAAGAATAAATTATTTAAATTAATTTTATTTTATTATAAAGATAAGTAGGTAGGAGTAGTGAGCAGTGGATCGCATGAAATTAGGTGTTTTTTGGCTTGTGTATTGCGTGTTGCGGATTTTAAAATTAAAACTGTGGTTTGCGGCTGGAAAATTTTTTTCAATTACGGACGGTCCTGGTAGTGATGTAAAGATTAAATTGATAAATTAAAATCTGATATTAAATAGTATATCAACTTCCAATATACAATTTCAGCCCCCCCCCCCCCACGGATTCTTCCGCTCCAAACAAAATTTTGTCAAATTTTTAATAGTCAAAACAGCCGATTCTATACTTGACTTTGTAAAAAGTTGATCCCTAATGTGTAATCGCTTTACTAATATTCAATTTTCTATCCAATTATTAAATACCTATATTTTTTGTTTCTCTTTTCCCTCCTTTTTTATTTAAAAATTCAATGTGGCAATAATATAATAAATATAAAAATCAGCAGATATCCTCTCCTTATTTTTCTTTTTAAAAAGACAGTTGTTTAATTTTCTTTAGCGTGTGCATTGTTTTGGTCGTTTTGCTAAAAAAATAAATTCTTGAGACTTTTTGTGTGTATTTAATGGACGGCACTTAAAAAGGTAAAAATAAAGGGAAGAGACAGATGGCAATCAACAAAAATGATCTAAATAATAGATAAAACAAAAATACCTTCCTTTCCTCAATTCCTTCACTTAAATTTCTTTACAAAAACAGCAAAAAATAAAAAAAAAGAAATTAACACTTGCAAGAAAATAAAAACATTTGCGGTGGCAATTTAGTAAGTGGGCAACAAATAAAATTAATAAAAACCACACAGACACAATTAACACCTTTTTTGTTTTAAATATTTTTTAGTATTATTCAATTAGTATGTATGTTAAAAATCAATTTGTAAATATTTTTCCTAATTTGGTGATCCACCCAATTTTAAAATTTATTAACCTATTAGTCACATCCTCCTTCCCTAAGATCAGTAACATACATATAACATAAACCGAGACTGATTTAAAAAACAAAGGATTAAATTGCTGATAGTAATTGATACGCCTTTTCTACATAGTGCCAACTTTGCTTTACAAAGTTCTATCTAACTGATTCGAATTATTCAATATTAGCAAGTTCATACTAATTCCTCAATATTTCTTTGTAATATTTTGACAAAAAATTATTTCACTTTCCTAAAAATAAATATTTTTAAGGAAAAATGGATGGTTTATTATTAATACTTTTATCTTGGTTTGTTGTCTCTTTAATTTGTTATTTTTTTATTCTTCGTTATAATCGAAGAAGGCAAAGTATTACTACAACAATTAATAATAACAATAGAGGACATCAGAATGAGGGAAATGAAAGGTAGAAAATATTTAGGGAAAAACACTAATTTCCGTTAATTAAAAATATTTTTGGAGGGATAATTATTAGTGTTTCACCGGAACCGAAATTTTGACCGGAACCGGAACCGGATCCAATTTAAGTTCCGGTTCCCGGAACCGGAACTTTTCTAAGTTCCGGCCCGGAACCGGAACCGGAACCGGAACTTTAAAAAATTTTTTTGCTAGCAAATTTTAAAAAATTTGTATTTTAAGTAGTGGTGTCGGTTTCGCCAAATTTTTCTATTAAATGCAGCCAAATTCTTCGGTTAATCGAAACCGAGCCGAATAACCTAACCGAAACTTTCGGTTAACCAAAAACGAACCTAAAAACCGAACCGAACAATCAAAATCCCCTGCTATGCCCAATACCTCACCAACTTCATGATATCCTTTGATCCCCGAATTTCTTAAAATTATCCTTAATCCCACCATCTCTAGATATCAAACCACCGATATGCCATTATAACTATTGATACATCGAAATCCCCAAATGGTACTCCAAATCTCCATTAATTCATGCGAATTTTAAATAATACCATAGTTATCCTTCTTTTTTAGCGCCGCAGGCAAAAATTTTGGGATTTTAGGTGAACATATTTCTTCATTTTTCAGCGCCGCAGGCGAAAATTTTGAGAATTTTGGAAGGCCAACCGGGGAAAATATTGCAAGGCCAAACTATATTTTTTTAAAAAAACTAATCTTAGGGGTGTAAAAAAGTTCCGGTTTGCCCGGAACCGATTTGTAAACCGGAGCCGGAACCGGAACCGGAACCAATTTGAGTTCCGGTTCCCGGAACCGGAACCGGAACCAAAAAAACACCGGAACTTTCCGGAACCTGAACCGGAACCGGAACTTCCGGTGAAACTCTAATAATTATTATTATTTTAATTTTTATTTAAAAATACAAAATTGTGGATAGTAAAAATGTGCAAAATCCTCTTTCGAATTAAAACGAAAATTTTGGGCATAATTTTATTTTTGCACTGATTTTCGTTTTTATTGTCTTTCAAATTTCTGAGAGAATAAAAAAATATTTTAATTATTTTCAGTATTTTAATGCACGATGTAGCAAATTGGCTAGTTTGGGGCACAGGAGAAAAAGGGGCAACAATTAATGAACAATTTGCTAATTTATTAACAAAAAGTTTAAATGAATCTTCAAAAAGATTACAAGAACAAGTTTAAATAAATAAATAAATTTAAAATTAATTTTAAAAAAATTAAAAAGGGACAGCCAGAGATGCATTTTGATGGAGTAAAGCTTCAACAAAGTTCGGCTAATTCAACACTTAGAGATTTCCATGTAAGGCCTAATCGTTCTCCCGGCAATCATTTGGTTTGTTTCTTAAAGAGATTTAAAATTTTATTTAACTCTGGGTATATTGACACTTTGTTAGAAATTAGATTGAGGGTCTGTTAAACAATAAGTGGAAGATGGGAAAAATTTTTAAGTGGGAAAATTTTAAAAAACGTGAGGGTCCTGTCATTTTTTTGGTGGAGACACTAATTTAAACCAATTTTTTAATTAAAAATAATTTAAAGTCAATAAGTGGAAAAGTTTATATCGAAAATAAAACAACTTTATTAAATGAAAATCAACCTAAAATAAATCTTTTGGTTACAATTTATGAACAGCAAATAGATAATTTAAATAAAGGAGAGGAAATGAAAAAAACTTTAACAATTGAACATCCAAGAAATTATAGAATTATTATTGACGATATGGATGGAGAGGTTATAACTAAATTATTTTATAAAAATTTAATCTAAAAATAGCTGATTATTATCTGTTTATTTAAGAACTATTAAGATTAATATAATGTAAAATATCTTGCCTAGAAACATAAAAGCCCTTAATAATGTTCCCTAAAAAATTCGTATTAAGATTCCGGCTTGAGAAAATTTACAAAGAACTCTCGCTCTAAAAATTAGTTGTATAATAGCCGTTGTTTAAATTTATCTGATTAAATTTTGGGTAAACATTCAATTAGGAAAGTTGTGCGTGTTACAGGAAAAATATTACTTATACTCAAAATTATTTTAAAAATTTTATTTTAAAGGCAGAAGTTCGTTTAGCCCAAATAGCTGGAGAATTATTTATTATTGCCTGTTTTAGTGGCCGTCCAGATGTTAAATTAAAAATTTTAGAACCTACAGCAGAAAAAGCAATGGAGAATTTTGTTGTTGAATTTGCGAGGAAATGTATTCTTGGGGCCGTTTTAAATTTTAGTTTAGGGGAATTGTTGTATCCTGATGAAGAATCTACTGCTAGGGTTTGTGTTTAAATTGGGGTAGCTCCACGTCCCCTACGATTTTTTTTGACAAAACGCCCGACTCGAACCCCGAAGTCTCTACCGCGGCAAACCCCGATCCCCGACAATTCGACCCCGCTAACATATTTTAAAGGCAGGCCGAAACTTGCGGACCGACTTTTGCGGACCAAAACTTGCGGGCCCGACGAATTTCAAAAAACACAGCTCATTCGAAAGAGCTCGACGAGCTGAGTCGAATGACATCAAAATCATCGTGATTGTACAAGCTTGGACAAAGTTACGATAGAAAGACAAAAACCTAAACCTATGGTCCGCAAAAGTCGGTCCGCAAGTTTCGCACTACCATTTTAAAGCTGAAGAAACTAAAAAATGAAAAGTTTTGTCTAAATTTTAAAAATAAAAATTATTACTACCCTCTCTCACTTATTAAAGTAAAGATCACTTTAAGGAAAGTAGAAATTTGTTTCTGAGTTAATTTCATGAATGTTGCCCTAATTAAAAAGCTTAAACAAGAGAGAAAAATCTTCCTCTGATTTTAATATCTTTTAGGCTTCCCGAGCTCGGCTTAGTGCTGAATATCGAAATTTGAGTTTTCTACAAGAAGTTTATCCGTCTGGGCAGAGAGAAGAAAATATTCATTCATTACAGGCAAATTACAAAAAAAGATATTTTAATAAACAAAATTCATTTTTAGCCACAAAGATTTCCTTTGGCGGAGGGAGAAATAGCTTCATCCGAACATTTGAGAGAAACTCATTTTTTACATATTCATCTGATGGAATTACGTGAATTACAAGGTAATATTTAAATTACATAGAAAACCTATGTTGAAGAAACAAATACTTTAATAAATATCCAAAAAGCTTTTTCGAAAAGATTCGTAAAGTAAAATTAAGAAAAAAGCAAGAAAATGGCTGCGCCAAAGTATGCTGCGCCAAAATGTCAAAAAATAGCCTAAACCTATTGAAGCCTAAACCTTTAGGATTTAAGCAATATTTCGGCGCCGCCAATTTGGCGTCAGAGCTTTTACTAGCTCTATAATATTCGAATTTAACAAACTTTATAATAGATTATAATATCATTCAAGAGCTAATTTTGTTAATGAATTAAAAATAAAAATTTCTTAATGGACTAGCTATAATTAAATATACCACTATGTATTAAGGTTATCCTATGTATTAAAGTTATCCATTAATCCTACTTTTCATCCTTCCCCTTATGTTAAATAACATAATCTGATAGTTGAAATTCTGTATATTATTCTGTACTTTAAATTTCTATATAATTTTAAAAAATTGTTTTTAAAGAAAAAAGTTATAAGCTACAAAAGTGCCTGGCGCCAAATCGGCGGCGCCGAATAATCTACTATTTTTCCTTTGTAATTTTAAGGCGTAAAACTTGCATCCTAAAGGTTTAGGTTTTATAGGGGAAAACGAAATTGACGATTCGGCGCAAAACACTATTGGGCGCCAAACTTTTTCCCAAGAATTACTCGTCTCCGTTCCATTCTTTTCTACAAAAATAATTAATTTCCCTAATATTAGACGGATTACTCAATTCTTCAAACGAACGTCCATTTGTTTGTATTGAATTAGACGAACCATCTTCAGAACGTTTTTTAAGTCCAAAGGGACATTTGGATGCACACAGCGGTAATTATTGGTTTTGGCATGATGGGGAAGCAAATTTCGAATTGGCAATAGCTCCAACTGGAGGGGAATTGCTATTTGAATTATTTACTGAAACACCTTCATTTCCAAATGAAAAAGAACTAGATTTACCTCCAACAGCTATTTATGGAACTGTTAGGCAAAGGTGCTTTTATTAAAAAAATTAAAAAAAAATACAAAAATATTTTTAAAAATATTTTTTCAAAAGTATTTTTATTTTTTAATTTTTTACAAACACAAGAGAAGCAATTTTAAAAAAGTGGGCTCAGCCGGTGATCGAAACCGGGACCTCTTGCACCCTAAGCAAGAATCATACCACTAGACCACTGAGCCGCTGTACGAAATAAAATAAAATGAATATATAAAATAATCCTTTTATCTTCTTTAAAACAAAACCAGTTCAGTGAAAATAAGGAGAAAAAGCCCGAATTATTAGCAAAATATTTTTTAGTATAATTATTATTTTTTTGTGTAATTTTTGAATTATTATAGTTAAATTAATAATTTAATAATCAGTTTTTGAGGCGTTTCCTTGGAATGGCAATTTTAAAAATTTCTGAACTTCGTCGAATAATAGCTAGACAACCACTTAGTTCTCCAGTACATTTACCTTTACAGGGAAAGGGATCTGAACAAAAAGAAGGAAAGAATATTAAAAGTGTTGATCAAAAACGTGGACTTCTTTTATTTCAGGTAACTTTTTAAATTAATTTAAAATTAAATTAACAACTGTTTATCCACCATAAAACTCTGAATAGATTCACTGATTGGCCCCCTTATTCATTTAAGGTTGTTTGCCTTAAAATCCCCAATTCAGAATTCATTATCCTTACCTGAAATTATTTTTACTAAATAGATTTTTTTCGGATAATTGAAGACCAGTAAAATTATTTATTGTTTTAGTGTTCATTTCATCAGCGTTCATTACCTTTATTACAATTAAATAATCCAATAACAATACCAAAAGAACAATTTAATAACAATACCAATAATATAATAAATCAACAACAACAATTTAATAATATACCTGAATACAAAAAAAGTCCGACAAGAAGTCCAAGTAAAAAAAGTTCAATTCCATCATTGGGAAGTTTAAAAAGGAGAACCCCCAAACCTGTCCAACAACATTATATTTATAATGTTACTGAGGATAGATTAAATAATAATTTAAATAATGGTGATAATATAGAAAAGGCAAAACAATTACAACAACAATTAGAAAATGAAAAACAAATTGTAAATAAATATATTTATTTTTGAATTATACTAGGCTTAATTAAATTTTAAAAAATTATGGTTCCATAGAGGTCTAAAGAGAGTATTATATCTATGAAAATGAATGTGTCATGTTGGGGGGGGGGGTACTCTTGGTGGAGAATCTGTAATATTATAATTTTAATTAGGAAATATTTCGCTCTTAAGAACTGGACTCGTGTTTTCAAAGAGGGAATAATCAGTTACTAGTATTTCTCGAGTAATTTCGGGGACGTAATGATTTTGTCTAATGATTTTGTTGTCGGTTCTGGACTGAACCGAGGATTTCTCGGTTCGTTTCTTCGGTTCGGTTCCGGATATTCGAAGATTTTCCAATAACCGGCAACCCTAGACGTAGTAATTAAATCTTCTCATTGTCAGAACCGATGATTTAATTAACAAATTATCTATTTCTCTTTTTAAGCATTACAATATGAGAGCAACAACAGCAACAAGTGATGAGGAAAGTTTAATGCCAAAACAATCATTTGATACAGCGAATGCTTGGAGTAGTCCAGAGAGACAATTAATTGAAGAAGAACAAAAACAGCAACCACAAAATATTTATAATTTACAAATTAGAAAAACTATAAGTGACAGCAATGCTTTATTATTCAAATATGAACAGAATGGAACAAATAATAGAAAACAGAGTGCTCCTGGAACACCTCAAACAACCCAAAGGGAAGAAGAAAAAGAAGAAATATTAAAACAGCAAGCCGTTGAAATACCAAATGGAGGTAATTTTTGATCAAAAAATATTTTGAAATAATATTGGCTGACATGATACCTGAGATTTACAGCTGCTTCTTTCCGCTAGTGTAAATTCCTAAACCATATCTTAGATTGGATACATTAGATAGAATCTTAAATGTGGATTTTAATGTTAAAATAATTTTTATGTTAAATTTATATTCTAGATTTTAATTGGTCCTGGGCCGCAAATGTATTTCAGTTCATAAATATAGCTTGTAGGAAAAAACCAGGCATGGGAAATGATCCTTTTTCCAATATTCCGAATACTTTTGTCTGAAATAGAAATTATACTTTTCCCGTTTCCTCTCATTTTTATTTTTTTCCCATTTATCTCCTCAAATCCATCTATATTTTCGTCATTAACTATCAATTTGTTATTTTCTCAATAGCTTTAATTTTTCTCAAATTCCTCAATTTCATTCCTCAAGTTCAATAACCTCAAAATAATTTTAATAGTTAACAATCAATCTCCACCACAACATCAAAATATTTCTGATAATCAAAAACGAAAACCATCCAAAGAAGTAAATGATCCACAAAATGCTAACGATGCTTATGATCACTTATTTAATGGAATGCGTGCCCCAAATGCAGCTGCAACTGCAGCAACACATCCTGCCATGGAAATTTTCCGATTACCTGCAGAGAAAGAAACGAGTGTAACTGAAGATGCGGATGAATTAAGGAGAAGAGCCAAGGGTTTGGAAAATGAAATAAAATTCGAACAATTTTTTAAATAGATAGGGAACGGCAAGCAAGAGGAAGGAAGGAGCGAAGAAATTTTTTTGAACAGATTCGTGCTCGTCTTTCAGGTAGCGATTGATAGTCCTTTATATTGTTAGTTTTCTAAAATTTCAAAAATATTTTTAGGCCCCCTCAGGCTATTTCCTGGGAGACAGAGTCAAAGAGCTAAATCTCTCGACGACTACGAACAACATTTAGAAGAAGCTGCTGTTTCAATGCCCCAATCACGTGACCAATCCCAACAAAGAAAAGCAAGTGGTGGGGGCCTTCACGAAGAACATATTCGACAACAAAGATTAATTCAATCTGCTGGTAAAATTTGAAAAAAAAAAATAAAAAATATTTTTTTATTTTAAAGGCCCTTCAAGTATGGCAACTTCAACAGCAAATTTAATCTCTTCCTCTTCTCGGCAACATAACGTGATGAGTCGAAGCCATTCACAAAGCCAACTCGTTCTAGAATTAATTGGCCCAGAGGAGGAAGGACCTAAGTAATTATTTATTTTGGAACTTCTTTTAGATATTTAGAAGGGATATTATTTAATACAGTCTCAGACCTTCTTATAAGATATGCTCCTATTTCTAGAGATTGTACGTATGTACTCTTTTAAAATTGTACTTAAATCGAAAGCATCGTTTATACACCCAGTGTCTCACTAAATTAAATAATAGCTTAAATAGTAGTATAGCTAGCATTGGATTTATTTTATAGGGAGGGGTCCGTCTGTATAAATTAAATTTACATAAGTATATTTTTAGATATTACTCTATCCCAGCAGAAATATCTAATGAACCAGCGGTTGTTAAATTAATGCAGAGTGGCAAAAAATTACATATTTTAAATTCACATATTTTAGTTGCGTCAAAATCACGCGGGTAAATTTTAAAGAAAAAATTGTTGTTTTTAGATTTTATTTTAAATATTTTAGCAGAGTTGTTTGTTCTGTTTGTAATAAAAGGATTGGTGGGAACTTTTCTACAAGACAAGCATATCAATGCAGAGGTAATTTAACAAAAATAGAGAAAAGATTTTTCATACATATCTGCTACCTATTAGGGAAGGTTCTGGTTGAGAAAAAGTCAAGTAAGACTTCAGGTCGGGCTTCCAAAATTTTCTTCGGATCGGCTTTCGAGTAACCCGACGCATCCCTAATACCTACATTGAAATTATAAAAATGAAACTTAACTAAAATTCTAGACTAGATATTTTAAGGTAAAAGCATATTATAATGACAGCCAATGGGAATTTTTTTAGATTTCAAATAAAAAAGGAGACTTTAATTTCCAAAATAATTTTTATTCAAAAAATTTTCAGATTGCCGTATAATTTGTCACAAAAACTGTCACCAACAAATTGACAGGAAATGTGAAAATTCTTCTAGTATTTCTAATTTACTTGTAGAAGAAGTTGACTGGGCTGAATTTCTTCGGCATCATCAATTAAGGGAATTTATATCTGTTGGGAATTTGTGACAGAAAAAAATAATTTTAAAAATATTTAAATTTCCCCTTTCTTTAACCTCACGATTTAATTGAAAATTTAAAACAGAAAATCAACACTTTTAAAATTTTTGATTTTTTTTTGTTTAAAAAATCTTTCTGATTTATAAGACAAAGAAAAAGGCCCTAATAAAAGCTTGATTAACTAAAAGTGTTTATCTTCCTGTTTAATTAAAAATTCAAAAATCTTTTTCTAACTTGTTTAAAATTGATTTTTAATAAAAAAATTTTTTAATAAATTTAAATAATAAATAATATGCATTTAGTAGAGAATGGTCTAATAAAATATGTAAAATAAATTTAAAAAGCGAAAAACGAGAAGATGATTTTTAAAACGTTTTACATGTCTAGCGTTTAAAAATTTTGTAAACTTCCTTTTAAATTAAATTTTTTGTCATTTATTTAAATTTTTAGGTTAAATTTTCAAAGCTGCAATTATTTTTAATGTAAAATTAAATAAAAAAAACACAAATTTTTTGATTCAATTCATTAATTTTTTTAATAGCCTTAAACATCTCATTTGGATACTTACATATCTTCTAAAATAGATTTAAATTTTGGAGTGCTCTTTTTTATTTACGCCAATGCGTGCATTTAATGGAACGCGGACATTGCAAAAAATTAAACTTTTCTTTATTAAATTCTTTCTTCTTTTCACATACTTATTAGAATTTTTAGCCATTCTGTCATTTATTAATAATGTGTCTGCAAAAAAAAGACTACCAAAAAAACTTTTGTCATGAGGGTGGGTTCGAATCAAAACGCGAGGAAAAGTCTAATTTTGTTATTTATTCCAAAAATAAATGAGTTTAAATTTTAAACTCTACATAGACATCATTTTGTGGAATCCTAAATAATTATTGTGAAATCCTTTCTTTCACTTATTTTTTTTCTACGACAATCTTTATGTACATTCAAATCCTAATTTAAATTATTATTTAATGCCTTTTTGATGTGTAATATTCCCTAAAATCATTTTCCCATTTCCATCATTTTTTCTGTTTGAATGTCACTCCCAAAATTTGAATTCAAAAATTATTTCTCCCTAATTTTCTTTTCACATACTTATTAGAATTTTTAGCCTCCATAAAAATGTTGATTCTTATAAAAATAACAGCATTTATTCCAAAATTACCCATAATTTAGTTTTCTCTCATTTTTAAAAATTTAGATTTTTTCCTATCGTTTCTTTTTTAGTTACTGATTTTAGAATGAATTCTTTACCAATCGAAGCAAAACTTGATGTTTTAAAATGTCTAGATTTTAATCAACTATTCTCTTTTAAACAAACGAATTTTTATTTTCTCAATTTAATTACTAAATACAAGGAGGAATTGGCACTAATGAAATTTAGTTATTTCTCGATAGTAAATACCTAATTTAGCTACATTTACTTTTAATTTATATCTTAGATTGAAGAAGATCGAGAATTACATTCATATGAAATTATTGAAATTGAATCCGGAATTTTTGATATTTCTTTGAATGATAATATTTTGAAGAAGGTGTTAAATTAATAATTAATTAAAATACCGTATAACCTGTATTAATTGCCCTCTCTCGAATATCTATCCCACTTCATTAATTACCCCATCCACCGATGGACTGAAACATTAATTACCCTCCCCCCTCCCCTCTCCCAACAAATGCACTAAAACACGTTCAAATTTTAAACCTCGTATAATTACCCTCCCTCGATCAATTACTCCCTCCAGCGGAAGGTCGAAAAAATAATTACCCAGGGTAGTTATTAAAGGATATACGTTATACATTTATCTTTTTTAGTGGCAAGCAGCAATAGATAAATCAATCCCTTTGTTTTTACATAATTTCGAATCAAACAAAAAATTTATTGTTTGTTTGCAGAAAACACTGTGGTTTGGTGTGGGCAATATAAATCCTCGTTATCATCTTTTAAATTTGCCAAATTTTCCGAAAAATATTGAAGAAATGATTGTTATTCGGTGTTGGTTAGAACAACTTTTTAATTGTTCTTTTGATTATGCTCATTTTAATTACGTTGTTTTTAATCCGGAAATGATTGATTTACTATTTGATAATGACGAAACAATTCCAACACAATTTCACCTTCAAACGCCTTATATAATTTCTGGAGATAATATATTTGAGGATGTTTTCAAATTTGTTTTAAATCATTTACCAATTTCTTCATTTATTAAAATAAGTTTAAATGAAGTCAACATTTCAGAGCAGCATATGGATATTTTATTTAATATTCTAGTAAATGAAGGCAAAAAATTATCTCAGATAAGTTTAAAGGGTTCTAAGTTGATGAAGCTTCATGATCTTATTATTAAAGTAAGTTAGGTATTAACAAGACATGGAATAAATTTTAAATTTTAGTATGTAACAACATCGATAGACTGTTCAAAAGTGGTGGATTTCATTGCTCTAGATCATGTTCCAAATTTTAAATTGGGGGAGAAAAGTAAAAAATTTGAAATTACAAAATTCGGTGTCTTTGAAGTTACTAATAGTTATGAAGTTGCCAATATTTACAATCCGCAAGTGAGATTTTCGACTGAGAACATTCGTGATTTAACATTTATAAAAAGAATATATTAGAAACAAGGTAGAAATTTATTAGATGCATTTTCTATAATATTTATTTTCGGTAGAATTACCCTTTTCTGCTTTTGGTTCCCTTTCCGCAACAACATTAATAGGAGTTCTACAAGTACTGTTATGGCACCTTTGCTTCCCGTGTTCAAGTCCAGAGTCGTTGGGACATGCTTCAAAATTGTTTCGATTAACGAAGCTGTTCATGTAGAGAGCTTTTGTTGGAGACGAGATTGATGGAGACGAGGAACATTCTTCTAAACTTTGCCAGAAACAGAATTTGTTTTGTGTTCATTTTCTATTGACTTTTGATTATTTTTTATTTTGTAAAACTTCTTCATTTTTAATTTATGCATTTAAAAAGTTGAAAATATTTTTTTTATCATAAACTTGATATTTTTAAATAATTCACTTTATTTAAATTAAAATTGTTTTTGTTTCAAAAATAATTTATTAAATTCTAATTTTTATTAACTTTTTTTTCAATTTTAAGTATTTTAGAAAACAACTTATTTAACTAACTTTGGTATAAGCAAAATGAATTTGCCACCAGAAATAATTCTTGATGTTCTTAAATTTCTTAACTTTAATCAAATAACTTCACTAAAATTAACAAACAGCTTCTTTCTTTGCCTCATCGACGAATTTGAAAAAGTGCTTCCTCAGATGGTATTCAAACAACTAAGCCTCGTACATTTTAGTTATAAAACTAATAATTATTTTTACATTATTAGATTTCCGTCAGTAATGATGAGTTAATGGAATATAAATGTATTGAACCTAAATATTTAAGTCTTGAAATAACTGATCAACAAAGAAAAAATGTATGATTGTGTTTAAAATTTGACTAGGATTATTAAAATGTGTTTAATTGATTAATCTATTAGATTTACTACCAGATATTAAATTGTCGAAAATTGACTGATTCCTATGAGAATCTTTTAACTAACCCATAGTTTCAGAAAATGATAGAAAAATCCTCTCCCTTAAAAATAAAGTAAATTTTACTAAAAATTAAAACAGAAAACAGTAAAAAATATTTTTAACTGAAAATCAAAAATGCCCTTAATAACCGGCCGAGAACAACCCTAATTTTATTTTTTATAGTGGATAGAAATCATCGAAAAATCAATTCCTGCTTTTTGTTGTTCTGAAATTAATTCTAACGAAGAAAATATCATTATAGAATTAAAATATAGTGAAGGTTAACTTTTTTAATGATCATTGGGAATGGGCCGAAATAGGTAATATAAAAATTATGATTTAATAATATATAAAATATTATTGATCTCGAAAGTTTGGAATTTTCGAAGGGAATAACTATCTTAATTGACTATCTTAATTTCCGGATAAACTTTCGTGCCCTCTTACGAGCTATTCAGGTTTTCCTTAACCCGGTTGAAGCCGATTTCGAAAAAATACTAAACATAGACATAGTAAACTATACACAATTATTTTTAGAGGAATCTTATTATATAGCAATAAAGAACTTTTCGGAGACAATAGAAGAGCTCAATCTTGTTCATTATTATTGGGATCAACTTTTTAGATGCATTTTCGAATTCTCAGAACTTATTTCTATTGTTTTTAATCCAATGATCAAATTATTATTTAATGAGAAGATACATATTTTATGAAAAGCTTAACTTTATCCGTTTTTACTTGTTTTTCCCTTTATCGACCACAAATAAATGTGAAACAATAAAAAAACTCACGGATCCACAAGGATCACTTATGGAGAGTTAACAGAAAAAAAATAAAATACAGTTAAGAAATGTTAAATTTTAAAAAAATAAATGGACTACACAGAAAAAAATGTTTTAGTCAAAATTTAGTGAATTTAGTGAAAAAATGTTCAAATTTAAATATCCGAAAAGGGAGTTAAAAAGGATTTTTTAAATAACTTTTAGTAAAAAATTTTAATAAAAATCAATCTCGTCGATCACTTTTCTTTTTCTAGAAATTCTTTTTTTTCCATTTCATTCTAACTCTTTATATTTACCAGAAAATAATTTACTCGTACCTACATTGAAAACTTTCTTCACTTTACTTGAAAATTTTCCCTCTTTAATTTTTTTCTCATTTTCAAAAAATTCCAAAATTTCTTTTCTAATTTTATCTTTTGCTAATTTTTTAATTTCATCAGTATCTTTCTCTTTATATTCTTTTTCTTCTTCAACATTAATGCCAACTTTTTTCAATTTCTCATTCAGACTAGCACAATCTTTTTTGAACTTTTCAGTAAACTCATCCTCCGCTTTATATTTATTTATTTCAAAATAAAATTCGAAAACTTCAAATATTTCTTTGAAGTTTATTTCATTTAATTTGATCAAATAATCGTTTAATTCCTAAAAATACAAAATATTCGCTTTTTGTTTATGTACATATTAATTTAAAACATTAATAAATTATTTTCAATTTTGTATTTTACAAAGAATTTATAGATTGGCCCAAAAAATCAAAAAATTATTTAAATTTTGTGTTTATTATTTTAATTAAGTTTTACCGTAAATATCCTAATAGAAGCCCATCCCTAATAGAAGACCATCCCTATTAGAAGCCCACCCGATGGGGGGTATTGAAAAATATAAGTCCAGGGCTGGATATTTACGGTATTTAAACAAACAGAGAATAATATTAAATTCAAATTATTTTTTATAATTTTCCAAGCGTAACCAAAGTTCATTTAAAATAATTTTTAATTAATTACCCGATGTTTATTTACATTGTTTAAATTATCTTTAAAAATTTCGAAGAAAATTTCAAATCTAATTGCAGACGTAAAAAATTCACTAATTTTTGAATTCACTTTTTTAATATTTTTAATAGTTTGAAGAATTTCGTTTAAATGATTATTTTCTAAAATCGATTCCAATTTTGGAATGTTCTTATTTAAACCTTCCATAAAAGGATCAACTAAATTTGAAGAAAATTAAATATAAATCGTCTTCCGTTTCTGTTCCACATGGAAATTTGCTAATCCTCCCATTCCTAATAATCTAAACATTTACCTCTCGATCCTTCTCCTATATGCTTATTTTTTGCTTTGCTTTGATATTTCAGCTTGTATCCTCCCTTGCCAAATACTTTCATTCTCTCTTTATTATCTCCTAGATAATCAGTTGTTGACTCTTTCTTAGTTGACTCTCCTTCTTCTTGAATATCTTCTTTAACTTCCTCAATTTCACGACCAGCTCCACCACTACTAGCCTTGACCAAATTTACTATCACCAAAATTAAAAAGAATTGAAGAACAAAAATTTTAAAAACTTTTCGATGAAATATTTTCATCTCTTTTCCTAAAAATTAAAAATAACAAGTGTGTATATTCCTAACGTGAAGCATTAACTTGAGAATCTTTACTAAATAATGAAGAAAAATCCGTATAAAAAATGTAATGTAAGATAACTAAATATCCTTAGATTGTCCTAAAACTCCTTCCAAAATCATCATTGTTTTCTCCTCTCTTTTTGATCATTTTAAGTCATTGGTCCCAAAGTTAAGCGATCCCTATTAGTCTTAACAATAAGAAGTCAACTTAAAAAGTTAACTTCTTATTGTTAAGTTTGGTTGTTAACTTAAAAAATGTAAAAGGTAGGGTTTCACCAGAACCGAAATTTTGACCGGAACCGGAACCCTAGTAAAAGGTTTTTAAGGAAAAATTTTTTGTTAAAATAATTTCTGTTAAAAGAATTATAAATGCGAGGGCATTTAATTTTTGGCATAATAAATTTCCCCAAAAAACACAGAAATAGACGTTGTCTTAACCAAAAAGGTTTACGTTTAAAATATAAATGAAAATTTAATTTTGAATTAAACTCTTCATAATTTTTCTGAGAGAGAGATATGTACATATCTTGTTTCCAATTTCTGTATAGAAATAGACTTAAAATTTTTCCTTAACTAGACAAAAATTTTGGCAAAGATTGTTAAAATAAGATTCAATTAACTCTTTCCTGCTTCCCCTCCTCTTCCATTCGCTTTATTTTTAAAGTTGAATTTTACCTAGCTGAAGTCCTAATTTAATTTTTATTTTATAATTTTATTTAAATTAAACAACATAAGAGGGATGGCAAGCAAAAAATTTTAAAAAAATTTATTGAATGAAGGGGAGAGGAGGGGGGGATTTATTTTCCTCTCTACCCCTCCTTATACAATGAATGCCCACATTCTCTCCCCATGTTTAAAAACGACACATTAATGAATTTTACATATAATTTTAAAGAAAAAATCAATCAACTCCTCGTGGATTGGGCAGGAAAAAAATTTTTTAATAAATTTTTTTAAATAAATTTTTTAATTTTTAATTAAAAAATTTTAATATTTGGAGTTAAAATAAAAATAAATTTAAATTATTTAAACAAAAATGAATTTTAAAAATTAAAAGTTTTTGGAGAACTATAAAAAAATTCTGTTAAAATATTCAAAATTAATTCTATTTATATAAATTAATTCTATAATTAAAAATTCTGGACACTTAGATTCTATTGTCTGGAAATATATGAGATTGGGACCTGTCAAATTTAAAAATCAAAATATGGGAGATGGAAGTCGGGGAATAGAAGGGGAGTGTGTGGCAATAAAGTTAATTAATAAATTTAAAAAATTAATTTGAAAACAACTATAAGAAAATTCATTATTTGTCAAAAAATTATATAATTTCTTCAATGCTGGAATAGTTGAATAGGCATTGACTTTTCGCGAGAAAATTAATTGTTCAGACCAAAAAAATTTACTCTGAACTTTGTGTTAAACTTCCTTTGTTTTAACTATATTTTTCTTAAATCGAACTCCTATTTTTTCTTCTAATTGATTAAACACCTTTTATTTATTTCTTTATTTTCCAAAAAAAAGTGAATAATATTTAAAAGAAAGGGAACAATTTATTTTAATTTTAATTGAGAGGAAAGTTAAATTGAAGAGAATATTTTTATTAGTGAAGCTAATAGAAATGAATACTAGGAAAGAAGGCATAAGGAAAGATGATTACACTTATTTATAGGCAAGTGAGCGATCGAAGGTCGCTGCTAAATTTAATGTAAATAAGAGAGATAATGCCTAAGTGTAAAAGGAAATCTTAAAGAGACGGAAATGAATAATATAAAATATAATAAATATTAGAGGGTCAAAGTCTAAAAGATGGGAAATGTATGATTAATTGAAAATAAATATTTTTATATTTTCTTTTAGACTTCTAATTAAAACATCTTTCCGTCGTAAGACTTCCTTACGAAATGAGACTGTCCAGTCGAAACACTCCCACAACAGCCAGATTTTGTCTTCCAGCAAGTGTTGAATTTCGTCTGGTGGTTGTTCAGCCTCCAATTGATTCGACTTATTTTCTGGACAAATTTTGTCGTTGGATCAAACCTTTTGGGTTTGGTTGATGGGAGTATTGATTTTTTAGATTCCCCGCGTCTTTGCTGCAAGAATTTATTAATCCGAGAAGTATTTGGTTCCTCTTTATTTTTTGTTTCCAAGCAATTTTGTTGCTGGAATTTATTTATGTTGGGCGTGTAGAAGCCCGGTTGTTTTGTAAACGTTTCCTTTTTGATTTTATTCTTTTTTATATTTTTTGCGCGTGTTTTTTGCACGAAGGATCGAAGACGATCATCGGAATTGGTTTTCCATTTTTCCGATTTTGTCGGATTTTCATACTTCTCATTACTCCCATTTATCGAATATCTTAATTTTTCTTTTTCTTCTAGGATTTTCCTTTTTGATGGATCTTCTTTGTTCCTGGAAATAGCCCAATTATTTAGGTAAATTTCTTTTTTAATATTTTTTGAATTTTTGTTTTTATTCAGATTGAGATCCATTTGATCTTGTTCAGACTTCGAACATATTTCGATCAGTCCGATTTTCTTTTTGACAAATTTGAAAGAGCCATTTTTATTTTCTTTTTCTTCCGATTTTTCCGGAATCATTTTTTCTTTTAAGGAAAAGAGATTATTGGCGGCGCATCGGATAGATCCTTTATTTTTTGGCCATCGGCGATTGCTCGGCCTTTTTGGACCGGAATCTTTCCGTAACCAATCGGCTTCATAACGTTCATTTTGGAACGTTATTTTTTCTTCCAATTTTTCCTTGGCTGTATTTCCTCTTTCAATTCTTGCGAGGGAATTCGTTTTCTCTTGTAATGTTTCATTTTCGTAATTATTTTCAGTAATTACGACATTAGAGTAATCAATCGAGGGAAAGGCTTTTCTATTAGTGATTTGTCCTTTTCCTCCCATGATAGGTCCAATTGCGCTATCCGCGAGCCATAGTCCGCAATTCAATTTTTTCTTGCGTATTATATTTAGTTCGAAGAAGTATTCGACTCCTAGTAAAACGTCAGGCTCGACTACGGAATGTGGCATTTTCTTTGAATTTAGATCCACTTCCTCTTCATCTTTTGGAGCCAAGACTACGGGCATTTGAGTGATCAAGCTATGTAGATTGTTCAGCTGTCCCACTTCTACAAACATTTGCCCTTTTTTACTTTTTTCAATTCCCAGTTTGAATATTTCGGCTTGAGCTTCAATTACCGGAGTTTGTTTTGTTGGGAAAGGTTGAATTCTTTGTACTTCTTTTTGAGAAGTACGTAAGCCCAGTTTTTGAGCAATTCCTTTTCGAATGTAAGATCTTTGAGATCCACAATCGATGAATATCCTAGCTGTAGTCCTTTTTTCTGGACTCGAAGGATTAAATATAATAGCCTCGCGACAAAGTAGAATTCGATTTTGACGCGGCCTTGGTATGAGGGCTGAGTTTTGTAAAACATTTTTTTCAATTTTTATTTTTCTGTCTTTGTATATTTTTTCACAAAGAGCTGTATTGTGCCTTTCTTGGCAATGGTAACATCTAATGGGTTTTTTGCAATTCCCATTGTGCTTTGGCTTAATGCAGAATTTGCATCTTTTTAATTCGATCAATTTTTTGCGACGGTCTGAAGCGGTGTTGATTTTTCTGCACTCGTTTCCCCAGTGGCCTTTTTTACCACAAAATATACATGGGTATATTGGGGAACGCCTCCCGCCTTCAAGGTTGTTTTGATTTTGGATGCTGTTGTTTTTATTTAATTTTGTGCGGGTGTTGAATTTTTTATTTTTTACTTCAGTAATTGCGAATGTTGTTGTTACTTCATTTTCGCTGTCACTTCCTCTATCTGGGAAGTTTTCGAAGCTTTTTTGGTTATTTTGCTGTTCTTCAGCTTTCTCAGGTAATTTTCCGTGAATGGAGAGGACAAGTTCCTCTTTCTCAATCACTTCCCGTAAAGCTTTTCTGAAGGCAGCTGTGTCCCATAAAGCTCCATTGTTTTTTACAATCGCTTTCTTTGACTGAATTTCCCGCAAAATTGGTATTGTGAGCTTTTTTTCTAAGCTCATCCAAAATCCTTGACTTGAAATATTGTGACCATTATTTTCCAATAGTCGACATATTTTTTCTACCTCGAATAAGAATTTTCGACAATCTTGAAAAGTTTGACATGTTTTTAAACTTTCCAATTGTGTGTATAAATTCCTAGTATATTCTTCTTCATTTCCATATCTTTGCTTTAACAAATCTATGGCAATTTCATAATCGCTTAGTTTTAGACCAGCGATTATTGATTTGGCTTCTTCTTGTACACATTGTTTTAGAACCGCGTGTTTTATTTCTTCACTCCCGTCGGTTTCGTGTACGGTAGCTTTAAATAATTGCCACCAATCAGGCCAATCAATTTGCCTGCCCGAGAATTTTCCAATTTCTTGTCTCGGCGGCTTAAAATTAAATCCAAGCGATTGTTGCGCTTGTGTTGTCGAATTACTCATCGATTTCTCTCTTCTCTCCTCTTTTCTTTTTTCTGTTTTTAGCTTCCTCTCTAAATCTTTTAATTTTCTCAATTTCAGTGCGGCTGCGTTTAAACGCTCATCAATATTATAGTCTTCTGCCGCATCTTCATACGCTTTTTCGAGCGTTTGTTTTTCTGTTTGAGAACTTCTTTGAATCAGCGAAATCCATTTCGCATTTGATTCTTTTAAGTCGTTGTAAGCTTCTGTTAATTCCTCAATTTCAGTATTTAACTGATCGAGTGTTTCGCAAACATCCATGAAAAATTCTGAATTTTGTTCAGAAATTTCAGGTTCTTTTGGAACCTCTCGCTCAAGTAGCGTTTGTACCGTTTCCGATGCTCTTTTTGTGGAGAGCTTCAGCGGTTTACTCATTTTTATTTAAATTTTTTTTTCCCAAAATAAATTTAAACAAAAAAATTTTATTTTTTATTTTATTTGAAGGGACACTAAATCTACCTTTTGTCCTTGTTCAACCACTTTAAATTAAATTTTAATTAATTTAATATTTTTTGTTGCCTCCAAAAAATTTTTGTTGTTGCAGGTAGTTATTTTTTGAGTGCTCGTCACTTTTTGCCTCCAAAAAATTTTTAATTGATGCAGGTAGTTTAATTTTTGAGTGCTCGCCACTTGTTCAGACCAAAAAAATTTACTCTGAACTTTGTGTTAAACTTCCTTTGTTTTAACTATATTTTTCTTAAATCGAACTCCTATTTTTTCTTCTAATTGATTAAACACCTTTTATTTATTTCTTTATTTTCCAAAAAAAAGTGAATAATATTTAAAAGAAAGGGAACAATTTATTTTAATTTTAATTGAGAGGAAAGTTAAATTGAAGAGAATATTTTTATTAGTGAAGCTAATAGAAATGAATACTAGGAAAGAAGGCATAAGGAAAGATGATTACACTTATTTATAGGCAAGTGAGCGATCGAAGGTCGCTGCTAAATTTAATGTAAATAAGAGAGATAATGCCTAAGTGTAAAAGGAAATCTTAAAGAGACGGAAATGAATAATATAAAATATAATAAATATTAGAGGGTCAAAGTCTAAAAGATGGGAAATGTATGATTAATTGAAAATAAATATTTTTATATTTTCTTTTAGACTTCTAATTAAAACATCTTTCCGTCGTAAGACTTCCTTACGAAATGAGACTGTCCAGTCGAAACATAATTTAAAAATTTCAAATATTTTTTAACTGATTTTCAGTTTGCACATTAAAAACGTCCAGGATTGGGCATATTTGTTGTGAAAAAATAAAATTATTTTGTTTTAAATGTGGAATGCTTTCTAGGATTAAATCTATATTTAATTCCATTAAATTTACTGCAAGATAACAATGTGTTAAGTGTATTAGTTAAGTTTTCATCAGTTTTTGGGGGCGTTTGAGTGATTCTTATGACTTTAAAAAGAAGTTTTACAACTCAATGTTACTTTTTTCTGCCAAATGAAATTTGGTGATTTTGTAGAAAATTTAATGGGCTTTCAGAAAAGTATAAAATAAAAATTAAATGTAGCCAACTAGGGGTATTTTTAATGTGCTTATTAATTAAGCTTTTTTTAGTTTAATTTAACCTAGTTTTTAAATTTTATGCAAATTTATAGTTAAAACAACACACAGCTTTTTGTACCTTTTCAGCGGAAAAAAATTTAAAAAATATGCCAAAACAAAAAATATGAAAAGCATTTAAGAGATTACAATTTTAGAAAAATAAATTTGGCAGAAAGTAGCAAAAATAAAAGAATTATTTGAGAGAAAAAAGTTTAAATCTGGGGGTTTAATTAACAAAAATACAAATAGAGAAAAATTATGCAAATATAAAAATATGAAAACTTTTTTAAGTGCTTAGATTTTTATGTAAAAAAGAAAAAATATTTTCTAGGTGAATTTGAAAAAATAAACGTACATATTACTGATATAAACAAACATATCTGTTTTAATAAAACAAAATAAAAATTATGTGTGAAATAAAAACAAGATTCATGCAGTAATTAGTTTGTTCCTGGTTAAAATCCTCTTAATAGACACCTTCGGTTACAAGGGAGATGTGAGATTATCCGATAAAATTTTTAATAATTCCGTTCTTTTATTTAGTTCTTATTTAGATTGAGTCTTTAAAAGAGATCTCACTTAAATTTGTTTTGTTATATCCAAATGTCTTTAACCAGAATCAAAGGAAATTTAAAATGACAAACCAGAAAGTAGGATTAAATTAAAGATTTGTGATGTGATGAAAATTATTGACTGATTTAATTGAGAAAATTTTTAAAATCGAAAAATTAGATTTTGTATTGAAAGTTTTTCTTTTAACTTTTTATTGGTTGCTGTTCTTTATCCCTTCCCTTCTGTTGTTGTTTTCCAATTTTCCCACTTGTAGGTATTCTATATTCGGAAACTAATTTTCCAAATTGTGTATCTAATACACGTAAAGCTTGATCATTATCCCCAATTTGTAAAATATGGGCTAGGGCTGGGACATCAAAAGTTTCATCTAATGCCATTAAAGCACCATGAACACCAGAATCAGCTAGATTGGCAATAAACATACCTAAACCTATTTCTTCTAACCATTTTGATACTCGTTCATTTGACCAAACAAGTAAATCTAAAAAATTAAAGTTCAAATAAAAAAAGTAGGGTTTGAACTAACGGACTGAAAAATATAAAAAGTGACTTTAATGTCCATGGAAAATTTTTATCTCCCTTGAAATGCAACAAATTTGGACGATAACTCCTTATTGTTAGTTTGATTTTTTTTGTTTTATTAGCTTATCAATCCAAAATCCCGTAGATTAACCACCCCTCACCTGCCCCCAATAATTTTAAAATATTTAGCTTCACCTTTATTAGCATTTTCACAAATTTGTCTCCTCTCTTCCAATTGCTTTCTTTCATAATTTAATTTTTTTAAACAAACAATTCCATAATGAAGACTTGTTCTATAATAAAACAAATAAAGAATAATTGTTTGAATAAATAAATTAACCTATGAAAACTGTCCACAATCTTTAAGCTTTTGTTTAAGTCACGTTTTGAAAGATGTTCGAGCATTCTTGCTAAAAATAAATTCATTTTTAAGGAATCTAAAAATAAGAAGAAATTCTATCGTCTCTGAAAGAGAATA